TAGCTTCACAACAAGGTAGTGTGCTGTGCGCCTCTTTGGTGTCGCTGACAGTTTGCTTGTTGCGTAGTTCGCCAGTATTTCCGCTTCGGTCATGAGTATCTCCACATCGATAGCCGTCAGCAACTCCTTGGCAAACAAACTCCGCATTGTCGTGTACGACTCCATAATAGGAATAGACTTCCCCAAGCGGGGTAATAGCGCAAACCTCTCCCGAAAGCTTCTGCGGATATGTTTTGGATTTACCGCAGGTAACCGCACAAAAGGATGCAGACGAATGTCCCCACGAATACAGGGTACGCGGGCGGCAGCCAGGCCATCCTCATCTGAAACTGACCTCCCAATACCACCCGACGTCACATCAGAGGCCTCTTGCAGGCGTCCATGCTGTTCTACTGCATTCACCTGTGTGGACAATTTTGCACGCTTCCGGCGGGCCTTGGTACGTGGGGTTTTAACTATTCCACCTCCATGCTCATCAGAAGCCCGCATAGAACCTGCAGTTGTGGGGGCGGCCAAAGTTGCCTCCACCGCTGGGCTTGGCCATACCGTGCCGGCTGCCCGTCGTCTGCTGCTGTGGGCAGCCTTGCTCCCCACAAAGTCGTGGAGCCAGGAGTCAGGAACCAAAGCGTCAGCGCTGCGTTCATTGCCAATAGACACGGAAGCCGAATGACTACCGCTAGCCTTTGCTTCATAGGTAGATGGCCAACTTACGGGAAATGGTGGTGCGCCCTGTTTGAACCATGACACTCCAGTCGGCTTCGGCAAGTGTTGCTGCTGCTTGCCTTCGTCAAACCCGAACTCCGGATAAGTCGTCTCCCACGCATCTGCATCTAAAGGGTCAGCCGGTTGGCCTAATGCCACTCCACTGATGTCCGACTCAAATACTTCAACAGGCGTCAGCTGGTGATAGGTGGATGACGATGGCTCATTAAGCCTAGCAACCTTAGCCGGACGCAACAGTTCTTCGCCTTGCAATCCCGCTGAAGTAAGGGCCCGCTTCCGTTCAAAATCTGCTGCAGACTCATACATCATGGCAACCAGCCTCTCCGTTCCTTTGTTAGCATCCTCAACCGTTTTGTGAGAGGCCTTCCCAAGGCCATGCTCTTCCTCAAAATCCAGGCATTCCTCTAGAATGTTGGAGCGCTCCTGATCATCATCCGCATCCGACAGATTTCGGCCTGGTGCTGCTCCGAATTCCAGTTTCTTCTGAACGGTCCGGCATACAGCCAACAAAGCTAAAACCACCACAAGTGAAATAACGGATACAACGGCCCCAGCTAGACGTCTGTCGCGATATGCTCCTCCTCGAAGTAGGTTGCGTACGCGCACAACTGCACGCTGGGGTAAATGGGGTGACGAGGCAGATCCACCACTTTGGAGTACAATTTGTGGGTTGTGCGACACTAGAAATGCCGGCAATTGTTGCAGACCCAAATCCACAGGATGGTGACTTTTTGCCATTGTGGGAGTCATCCAGCATTCCGCGGGGAAAATAACTGGCTGCTGTCGCCCTATTCTTACTGTTTATAACGTAAAGTATATGAGCTACAGGTATGCCCCCACTGCCTTCTCTTTGCTGAGACGCTTCACGCCTCAGTTTCCACGATCCCATGATGTGCGTAGGTTTGTCGGAGTCCACGACATAGGAAACCGGGAAATGAAGCTATTATGCCTAGATCTACTGGGAATGACTTCTAAGTACAATAGGCAACCACCGGAAAATATAAAGCAAGCAACATACAGAGTTGCAGACGGAGCAATGAAGTCACTCTCCCCCCCCGTTGCTTAAGATGGGCCACCCACCACGCCCTCGCTGCCCGAGGGTTTTCAGCTTCATGCATTCGTTTCACACCACTGCACTGAAAATTGTTGATTCAACATTTCCTCCCAAGAAGTCTGCTCACCAGCTGCGTTTTGAAGAAACAGCGAAGCAGGCGCATCTTCGAGACAGTGCCCCGGCGTCGAATTCTGCGCGGACTTCTGGCCGTTTAGGAGGAGCTGAAGAAACAGAGATGCTACTGAATTTAGGACAAACAGATATAAAGCTAGGAGGGCAGTTAAGGCAAGCTTTGAAGCGTTATTCTTTGTTGGGTGATTTCGTATGAGCAACAGTATGGGGTAGCAAATATCGTCGTGTGCCTTCTAGTGGACAAGATGTATCCACTAGCGCGCGGCAGCGCGGTAGACAGATTCTGTCGTTGGGTTCACGCACTACTACGCGACTGTGTTGATAATCTGAAGAGACAGTAGTGAACATGACTTTTAGTGACACTCTAGGTGCCAACATTGACGTCGCTATTTGTTTGGAAAACGGGTGTTTGTGAGACATCCCCATCGAGTTAGCGAGAAGGAGCCGTCTATTAACCAATTCTGGGTTTCTAGAAGCGTAGACAAGCGGAATCTTACACTTTGTTGGGGGAGAGTATTTGAGAAGTTACTGCATAACCTCGTGAGCTGCCTGTCACGCACACACACGGATGTGCACATGTTGGGCGTGACGGCGCCCCCAGCCAGGGATGAATGCCAGCTGAAACGGAGTTAAAATGCTATACATACGAATTCATCGAAACATCTAGCCCCTTAGCCCCCTCGTACATTCCCAGAAACCCTCTGCAAAGAGGCATAAACGACTGGTGCAGGCCCCGACGGGCTAGTTGGAGGCACAGCGCCCATTCCTCTGACTCCTGTATTCTATCTCTGCGTGCAAACACGACCAGCCAGTCGTATGAGCCCTTTCAAGCGTAGCATATGTGTAATCGTCCTTCGTAGGTAAACTGTTGACAAATGCTGTATAGCAATAGTAACCTCCGTAGTTTGCCTTAATTCACTGCAAGTTCTTTCTTGAAAGGCAGGTAGGCTGGAATGCAGTCGATGTAGAGGTGCCCCATGCCTCTTAGCTACCGCATCATAGTTAACAAGAGACCTCAGTAGCAGTTTCATCTTCAGTTAAGCATATCTGTGGCCAATTGTCCTTTTTTCCGCGAGCCCAGTGCTGCCTGCCAACATTGATTGAAGTGGAGGAATTGCCGTATGGGCTGACGTGGGCACATGGGCTTGTTTGCGAAGTACAGCTTGAGAATTTTCAATACGTGCGGCCTTGTGCCTTCTCGGAGGGTTAATAAACAACAGATAATATGTGGATTGTGCGAGAGACGTCATGCAGGAAGAAGCGTGGAAGCCGAAGGCAACCTCGGGGTGAGCACCAGGTACTAGGAACATTAAAAGTTGCGCATAAGGCATATTAAAATGGATAGCACGGATGCACTTGGCCACCGTTGATAGTCCTCACCTAATAGAACTCCAAGCCCGTTGCATGCAGGAGGGTGGATGCGTGGATGCGAAACAGTTGACCGCATAAGGCGTCGTGGTGGTTTTGCATCTCCTCAGCCGGGCGTTTAAACATCAGAAGGACTTTCGGTTCCACAACTAGGGCAAGAAAACTCCTTATCATCCTGTAGCCAAAGTTTCCACAACGGGTGAGACATTTGGCTACCTTTGTGTGCCTCGGTAATTATGGTCCTCTTCAGGTCAATTACCTCCTGAAGGGGAGGACGATTCCCTGTCTTGTATATTGCCAGCGCAGAACTCAGTCGATTGACCAACCTGTTTAGTTGTTCTGTCTTCCCTACTTCAGTAAAGTAATATTCCGTGCTGAAGTTCTGCACAAAGTGAGGCCACCACTTGCTGGCGTTCATCTTTTCCCCTAGAACCTCAATTGTGCATATCAGGGAGTCAAATACCATAAAGACAGACGAAAGCTTTACAAAAATGTACTTAGCTGTGTGTTTATTGTGATGCCGCGATAGCCTGTCTAATGCATAACTCGCCAGTGTTTCCGCTTCCAACAAGAGTCTGTCCACTTCTTCAGCCGTCAGCGAAGCCTTCGCAAATAAATTGCGCATCGTCATGAATGACTCCATTGGGCTTGGCCTACCAAATTCAGGTGATACTGCATATTCCACACGGAAGGTTCTGCGGACATCCTCCTGTTTTACCACTGGCAGCCGGACAAATGGATGCAGGCGAATGTCCCCGGGATCACAGCGTTCATCGCCTCTACTGCCGATTGCTTCCAAAGCTGTAGCAGAAGCTGACTTATGGGAAATGTTCAAATCAACATCCACGCTTGTTGCCGGCTGTTCAAGAGCTTTCACTGGCTCCTTTTGGGTTGCTAGAACGGCGACACCCTGATCTTTGTCTGAGTGTGCGATCCCAATGGTGGATTCACCTCCAAACACACGGGAGGCACGCACAGGACTACCATTGGCGGCAGCTGCTGACTGTTCCTCCACCACTGGGCTCGTCTGTACAGTGTTTACCGAAACTGGCTCGATGGTTTGTAGACCCCCTTTCCGCATAAGGTCTTCCAGCCAGGCTTGAAGACATCGAAAGTCTTCATCGCTGATTGCAGGCTCAACAGGCACCGAGTCCACATGGCTAGCGTTAGCCTTTGCTTCATAGGTAGATGGCCAACTTACGGGAAATGGTGATGGCCCCTGTTCGACCAATGAGACTTCAGTCGGCTTCGGTAAGTGTTGCTGCTGCTTGCCTTCGTCAAACCCGAGCTCCGGATAAGTCGTCTCCCACGCATCTGCATCTAAAGGGTCAACCGGTTGGCCTAATGCCACTCCACTGATGTCCGACTCAAATACTTCAACAGACATCTGCGGGTGATAGGTGGATGACGATGGCTCATTAAGCCTAGCAACCTTAGCCGGACGCAACAGTTCTTCGCCTTGCATTCCCTCTGAAGTAGGGGCCCACTTCCGTTCAAAATCTGCTGCAGACTCATACATCATGGCAACCAGCCTCTCCGTTCCTTTGTTAGCATCCTCAACCGTTTTGTGAGAGGCCTTCCCAAGGCCATGCTCTTCCTCAAAAT